TTTCCTCATTAATAGGTGAGCATCTTTGCAGCCTTCTGCTCCTTGGTTTCATTGGTTTGCCTAATCCAATCTACCTCCAGCCTTTCGGGGGGGGGGGGGGTAGTAGAAGAGGGGGGGAAGCAGAGGGGGGGGTCAATTTACTACCGGTTCTGTGGGTGTGGCTTGGTGGGCATGGCTTGGTGGGCGTGGCTTGGTGGGCGTGGCAGGGGAAGGATACTGCAAAATCCCCATTCCCTCCCTACCCCACTAACCTGCTTTCCAGCTCCGTTCTCCTGTGCAGGGCAACCAAAGAAGACCCAGCCAATGATCAGCTGGGACTCAATGGGAGGCAGAGAATAGATGGGGTTGACGGGGCCACTCAAAATTTCCGCTATCGCTTCTCCAGAACCGGTCAGAACCTGCTGAATCCCACCTCTGATGTGAAGCCTCCAACATGAAATCGTGGGTTACGGAAGGCTTTCCTATCTAAACATGGGCCCCCTTCTCTATGAATCCTCATCAGCTCACGTGTGCCATGCGTGTGGGCATAACTGTTGGCAGAGGTATTGTAGGGTGAGCCATTTGCTGCTCTTCTTGTCATCCAGGATTATAGTGGGAGGCTGAAAACAAGATCTAAATTAAGCAGTGACGTAGGTTGGCACCAGGAGGGCAGGAGACGAGATGCCAGTTTGGCCAGGCCTAGAAACCAAGAGACAGTGAGTTCTAGTCCCACTTCAGTCATCAAAACTAGCTGGGTGACTTTGGGCTCACCATCAATCGACAGTAAGTTCTAGTCTGTGTTAGGCCTGAAAAGTGGCTGGGTGGGCCAATCACTGGGAGATGGTGAGTTCTAGTCCTTAGACATGAAAGCCAGCTGGGTGACTTTGAGCCAATCATCAGGTGATAGTGAGTTCTAGTCCTGCTTTAGATATGAAAACTGGATGGATAACTTTGGGCCATCCACCAGGAGATGGTGAGTTCTAGTCCTCTTAGGCATGATTGGCTATTTTAGGCCAATCATCAGGAGACCGTGAGTTCTAGTCCTGCTTTTGACAGGAAAGCCAGCCAATTTTGGCCCAATCATCCGGAGGCAAGAGAATTCTAGTCCCGCTCTAGGTATGAAAACTGGATAGGTGACTTTGGGCCAATCACCAGGAGATGGTGAGTTCTAGTCCTGCCTTAGGCAGGAAAGCTGGCTGGGTGATTTGGGGCAAACACCAGATGGGTGGATGGTGAGTTTTCTTCTTGGTGGCCTCCTGGCAAGATTAGTTGGGGTTGTTTTTTTGTTTTTGTTTTTTGAAAAAAAAAATATTATTCAATCTCAGGGTGTTCGTTCCTGTTGGGAAGCTGAATAGTGGCTGAGTGTCTGCAGAACAGATCCAGAGTACAAGATGGGAAATGAAAGAGGAGCTGAGGGAACTTGGCTCCATCCTCTTTTATGGCAAGGAAGGGAATCCTGGCAGAGCAGTCTGATGGATTTGCTCAGGGTGGCCCCATGTACGACCCATTCTCAAGCGCCATTTTTGCCAGCTACTTTCTAGCTTCACGGTTTGAGGAAACACCCAGGGGCGAAGGCGAAGCCCAGGTGGCAAGGAACTTGCCATTTTAGGTGCCTCCGTTTCTCTGAATCGGATGATGTCATCACCTTCTCCTCTTCAAAAAGGGCTTGCTCTTTTACAATCTAATCTTTTATACAATCCGAGAGAAAATTGACCCAGGCTGTCAATCGTCCCTCCGCTGTCGAAACATATGCCCACCTCCCTCCCCTGAAAGGATGCCCTGTTGGGGAAAGGAACTGGAATGTATTCAGTTTCCAGATGACAAGCATGACATGCAAATCTGGAGCAGAAAATACAACCCTCACACACACACACACACACACACACAAATCCCAAACCCTTAACTGGCTTCATTGCTGCTTGTTATAGAGCTGTCAAAACACAGGCGCCTTGATAAAGGCGGATAATGTAGATTTCACAATGTCCTAGGCAAAGCTAGGATAAGCTAAATGAAGACTGGGTAGAAATCTAACATGTCGTCTTGTCCTCACATGTTTTACGAACCGGATTATCACCTTATGTCAGAACACGGTTGATTTCTCTGGCTGCGGCAGGCGACATGAGTACAGCTTAGCTTTAGGGTTCAGTCTGGTGTGTGAATCCAGCCTCTGGGTCTCTCTTTCACGGCTTGGCTAAAGTACTTCCTGTTTGCGTTTACAATGGGCTGCCCTAGATTGCAGATTGTCTGAGTGCCAGTCAGCCCCTTAGCTAAGACTCCGTTCTCTTTTTTACAGCCCAAATATCATTATCAATAGCAATTATCAACTTCTAATAGACCCACATTTCTCAGCTCAACAACTTTCAGAAGTGTGGACTTCAACTCCCAGAATGCTGGCTGAGAAGTTCTGGTCCACACGATGGCTGGGGAATTCTGGGAGTTGAAGTCTATGTGTGA